GAATTGTTAAAAAAGAAACTTCACGCTGCCTGGGCTTGGTCTGGGCTGCCTCCTCAGCCCTGCCCTGCTCCTCCAGCAGCACGTCTGTCTGTGAAGGTACCGAGCTGCCCCAGGAGAATCGCTGGTCTGTCCTTCAGAGAAAAAAACACCTGGAGCAAACGCAGCGCCTGGCAGCGCAGACTGTACCGCTGTGCGGTGCAGAGGCTGCATCGCTCACCTTCCTCATGACTCAAAAAAGAGCCTAAATTGTTGCTTTTGCTTTTTAACCAAGAAAGGTAATTCCATGGAACTCAAGCCAGTTCCAAGCGATGCCAGCGATGGAATCTAGCCAAGGGCAGCTCTAAGGACTACATAAAACCTGATCCAGATCCTGCACCTGAGCAAACGTCACAGAGATGGCCTTCACTCAGCACTGTCTGAGCACCTCCTTCCAGCACAGCCCAGTAAAACGCCATCTGAGTGACTCTGGACACAGTTTTCTCAAAACCTCATGCTGAGTAATTCAGGATCTACTAGAGGGACAATTATAAACTAACTATAAAATATCTGCACGCCCCCATCTGTTAAATGAGCTCTGAATCTGCTCAGCTTTCCTGCACGTGGCTGTTGCCCTTTGCAGCCTCATAACAGCTCAAAAGCCTCTCCTAGTGCGGGCTCCATCCCACACCGACAGCCGTTCCTGGGTAGCGGAGTGGTTCCCGACACCTTCTTCCCCTCCACCACCAAAGAGCCTTTGGTTTTCCATCCGACATGCTGCCGCCAAACCATACCTCACCCGTACAATTAAGCTGTGATCAACTAACTGCTGCCTCGCCTGTAAGATCACTGCTGCTGAACGGCTCCTGTGCCACCACACCGCAGTACTTGTGCCACCTCCACCGGCAAGGAGAGGCTGGGCTTGCTGCTGTCCTACCTGGGGACGAGAGGGGCCTTCAGTTCTCAAAGACTGTCTTGTTCCTCAGCCGCTAACGCTATTTGCGAGACTCCCGATAAGCCGTACAAATCGCCTTTGCATAAGGAGATTGTTTTACAGCATGTAAGACAGCACTAAAGCTGCATATTGCGATAGTAGCACTGCTCTCCTTTCAGGCTCTTGTGCTGTTTGAGAGCTGTAACAGAAGAAAAGAGGAAAGGATGTTCGTTAGGAAGAATTGATCAGCGGGAAATGAGCTTCTACGCAATGCCAGCCATGTGCTCCTCTAGCAAAGCTGCCAGGCCATTGATGCCCCTGACGTGAAGCCCTTCTGCACAATAATGGCTTCACACTACGTGGAAGTTAAAAAGTTCTCTAACACCCTCCGACAGTGGCAGATGAAATCCCCGGGGTTTTGCTCAGCATTTCTGAAGCAGAGAACATCCACGCAGTGCAGTGTCCAGGGCCGGGAGTGCTGGTGTGCCCATAACTTCTACAGCCGCTGCGATACAGAGTAATGAGTTACTGAAAAAGCACTTAGAAGTAACTCAAGTATGAAAGGAGGCATATAAAATCAAATTCTGGTGTGTAATTGAAAACCTGCTGTTCCTTTCCATGTTCTTGATAGTGCAAAACATTATATATGCTTTTCTTTTTTATTCTTGAAGCTGTAAATACTACCACCAGCTGTGATCACAGCTCTGCCCAGAACCTGCAGTTTTATTTGATTAAATAAATACCGTGAGATTATAAAGCAGTTGTGCACAACATCTTGTGATTAAACAGGCCTGTCCCAAAATAACTCACAGTTGCTCAAGGAGCTCTTCAGTTGCCCTGAGAATTCAGGGCAAATCCTCTCTCTCCACTTCAAATATGTAAGAAAAGAAATAACTGGCGGAGTATGAGCTTATGTGACAGGAGTGCATGCAGCCAGGCAGCTGAAACGAGCAAGCAGTCCTAGGAAAATGAGAATAATTGGACCCTTGTGCAGGAGACTTTTGCAGGACAAACAGCAGTTGAGTGTTCCACCTTCTGTGAAAAGATTAAAAGACATTAAACCTGAGTGAGTTTGGTTTGTTCCCAAAGAGCCACGGCTCCACCATCCAGCATTGAGAATAAGGCAGAAAGTGTGCAAATGAGAACCGAGCTCCGATCTCCCCACCACGCTGCCACTGCGGCGAGTGCCGGCGCTTGCTCACTGCAGGAAGAGAGACGTTGAGCTTCCCTTTCCAAACGTCACTGAAAGCAGGGTGAATTCCCTGGCGGCCTGGGCTGCTCCTACATTTGGGCTAACGTCATCGGATCAACACTTTAAAAATATGATGGTCGGTTAAGGGGAAAGAGAAAAAGGTACCGAGGAAGATGAGACTCTTGCAGAGCTCTCCAGCCTCAGCAAACCGTGCTGATTGTACTGACAGTACCTGGTGGTACATCTGGTTTGTGTCTTCTCCCCCTCCCTGGGACTCTCGCACCAGGAAAACCAAGCTTAATATTTTTTCTTCTAAGTTTAGGAGCAACAGTTTGTTGTTCCTTGCAAAGACACACAGTGGAAAAGAAAGCAAGAGGAGGCCCTGCTGCAGCCTCCTTTTTCAAAGGCCTTGGTGTTTCT